CCCTGACCACCTATAGGAAATGCATAGAGAGAAGGGAAGAGGGATGACCCCTCAATCCACCAGCTTTATTCTTGGCCAGGCTGAGAGCTGCCCCCAGCAACAGAGGAGAAGCATGGCCGGCTGCAAGGCCTAAAGCAGCGGACACAGGGAGAAGTGCAGCGCAAGGCAGCAGAGCAGCGTGGGCAGCACGGAGGTGCCCAGGCCCAGAGACAGAGCCTATGGCTGGTGGCTGCTGTCCAGGCCTGGATGCCCCTCCTCCCCTGGTCCTCAGAGCCCGCCCACCCAACCCAAACATTTCCCCAGCAAGGCATTGACCTTCCTCAGTTGTGCCACCTCAGAGACACTGGGAACCTGGGCCAGAATCCGACCCAACATCTGACTCCCTCTTCTCAGACGGTTCCCCGTTTTCTCCTTTCCACTGTTAGAAACAGATTTGGGCTGGCATTGGCCTGCGGGGTCCAAACCTGCTGCTGCTGCCTGTGCTGCTGCTCCTGGCCTCAGGTGACATGGAGGGAAAAGGGCAGGGGGTGTAAGGAGAGGAATGAAGAATGAGTGGGGCCAGGGGGCAGCATGGCTCTGTGACCAGAGGACAGCATTTGGGAACGCTCTTCTGGTTGTGGGCATCAGAATTAGTTCCCTCTCCCCTTTCCCAACCTGTGAGAGGGGAGATTGGGTCCCTACACAGCTCTGACCTGGGTCTGTTTCTGCAGGTTCCTGGGTAAAGGGTGCTGTGCCTGAAGAACTTCACAGACACTCAGGACAGACTCTCTTCCTGCAATGCCGGTACTCACCAAAGACAGGGCCCTATCAGCCCAAATCCTGGTGTCAGCAGACGTCGCCAAATACGTGTACCTTATTGGCCACCACCTCCAAGACCCAGACGGCAATTCAGCAGTCTCGTTACAAAATTTCAGACGAGCCCAACGCTGGCTTCTTCAACATCACCGTGAATCAACGGACACAGAATGACTCGGATTCTTACTGGTGTGGAATCTACAACACTTCCAAAAACATCATCACTGTTCTCAGAAATGTCAGTCTGGCGGTGTCTCCAGGTGAGCTCTTTATTTGAGGAAATTCCCCTGTGCCACCCTACAGGGATGGGAAGGAAATGTCATCCCCCTTCCCATGCCTCTATCATCTCCCATCCTGCCAGGTCTTCTGCTCCGGTCCGAGGGGAGCAAATATCCTTACCCCAGACACAGCCTTTCACCTCTGCTTCACCCTGCACATCCTGGCCCCGACTGTTGGCAAGATGCCCCCAGAGGTCTCTGGACAGAGACACTGTCTCTCTGTCACTCTGAGTCTCTCTGTGTGTTACACAGGCACACCCACAACTCTTCTTTTCACACACACACTGACAGCTCTGGCACGCAGATCTTAGGCACAGGCCACTCCTGACCTAAGGCATCCTGAGGGTCTGGCTCTGGGCCCTCTACCTCCTCTCATGTATGGGGTAGACCCCACTCTCTTCTGGACCCCTGGAGAGTCACTCTCTGATGTCTTTTCTTTTTAGTCCCAACCACATCTCCTGTGTGGACCCTCGCCTGGCTCTCAACAAGCACAGATAGGTTGGAAGCCCCCATGGGGGGACTTAAGAGAGGTCATCAGGTAGCTTGGGAGCTACAGATTCAGGGAAGGGGAAACCAGGGAGGCCTGACTTTGGGGGCTGATATCCCGGGCCCTGGGCTGGTGGGAAGCTACCTTCAGGGTCCCTGTCGCCTAGGGAGAGAAACATGAACCATCCGATGTGATGAGGAAGAATTCCATATTCTCATAATGATGGGTGGGTGTCCCCAGAGGGGAGTCCATATGGAAGACCTTGCACACATGTCCCAGCCCTCCTGCTCCTGGCCTCCCGCCACCATGGAGAGGACAGTGCCAGACTTGACTTTAACTGGTTGCAGAGATCTCAGGCCTCAGCTACCGTCGACCTGAGGGATCCTTAGGAGCTGCCCCTGACCCCTCTCCCATTCCTTTCATACTTTGGGGACCTTATCCCATTCTCTATTCTGGTCCCCGGGCCAAGCACTGTCTTCTTTGTGTCCTTCTTTGTTCTGATCACTTCTCCAGAGGGGACCTCTGACCATCCCTCCGTCAATGGCTCTGAGACCAGGTAGGTCAGGGGTTTTGCCACTGCGAGGGAGGTCTTGGGAACAGAGGGCCCGAGTAGCTCCTGAACCTTGGAATCAGGTCCAGGGCACCCAAGGATCCTTCTCTGGTGAGTTGGGCCATAGGGCTCAGCTATGGAGCCCCCGGGCCAGGACTGAAAGTTTGATAGAGAGGAAAGGGGAAGAGGATGCAGGTTGTTAATTGTGGAGGAACCATGGAAAAGACAGTTCAGCATGAATTTCTGTAAAGAGACAAAATGGAACCCAGAAATTGTGGAATCTGGAGGCTGTGTTTGTGTGTTGAAGGGTGAGTGTGAAGAGAGTGACTACAGCCTGGGGCAGATGGTGGCCGGAGAGGTCAGCAAGAGAAAGGTGAAAGGAGTACTCTTACATTCTGCTCCTATCCTTGTGGTCATGGGTTTGGAGGCCATCACAGCCTCCCCTTCACTGTAGGAACAGGCTGCCATAGACTAGGTCACAGGCGCTCCAGGGGACCATGAAGCACAGCAAAAGTCATGGACGATTGACGAAAATAGACAACCAATTGGCAGAGCGTTTGCTCCCCAGCCCTCTCCTCCTGCAAACTCCAAGGTGGGTGGATTACTAACAGACTCTCTGTCAGGGAGTTTCAAGGTGAAATCCTAACCAGAGGACAAGCATGGCAGCTAATGGCGGTCCCTAGGGTCTTGTACTCTAGGGCAGGAGTCCCCAAGCCTGTTGGAAACTGTGCCGCGGAGCAGGAGGTGAGTGGTGAGCCAGTGAAGCTCATCTTGTTTACAGCCCTTTTTCATAGTTTGCATCACTGCCTGAGCTCTGCCTCCTGTCAAATGAGTGGCAGCATGAGATTCTCATAGTGTCTTGAACAGTTGTGAACTGTGCACATGAGGGTTCTAGGTTGCATGCTCCTTATGAGAATCGAATGACTGATGACCTGTCACTGTCTCCCATCACTCCCAGATGGGGTCATCCAGCTGCAGGAAAATAAGCTCCGGGATTCCACAGCTTCTGCATGATGGGAGTTGTATAATTATTTCATTACATATTACAACATAATAATAATAGAAATAAAGTGTCTGGTAAATATAATGTGCTTCAATCATCCTGAAACCAGCCCCTGACTCCCGGGTCTGTGGGATATTTGTCTTCTACAAAACAAGTCCTAGGTGCCAAAAAGGCTGGGGACTGCCTGCTATAGGGCTTTTTCCTCTCACTTTTAACTCTCAGCGGGCAGAGGATTTAGCCTTCCTTTCTTCCCCATTACCAGATCTGTGTCTAATACGCCCCGTGGAATCTGAGTTCATGAGCCAAAATAACTAGGCTTCTTAATAGAAGCACGCCTTAAAAGAATGACAACACATCCAACAATAGAAACCTGTGAAGCAGAACTGTGGGAACTGCCCATCCCATGGGAACTCTAAGTACCTATGATCATCTGGCTAAAGGGGCGAGGGGAGACATGAACTATGTGGATCATGAGGAAGATCCATTGGAAAAGAAAAGCCAAATGGTAAACCTAGTTCTAAAAAGTATTATTGACCACAGCACGTGTGATAAAAGATGGCTGGTCAGTGAGCTGTAAGAAGAGTGAGGAATTCTCATGGAAGGTCCTGGAAAGCTTTGGAGATTTAAACATTAAAGAGAAGTTAGCAGAAGTGATGAGAAAAGAAGATGTATTAACCGATGAGTATCAAGAACCCGTGGGAGATAAAGGATGAAAGAAAGAAATATTTGAATAAAGAATCTAGGGAAGTTTTTAAAACTGTAGAAGAAGAAAAGACCTCACACTGAGAAAGATCATATGCTGCCAAATAGGGGAAAACAGCAAACACACACACACACACACACACACACACACACACACCCCACACACACACACCTCTAGACCCATTATGTAAAAGGAGAGAACATGAAAAATAGACAGAAAACATCTGAAGGGTTTCAAATCACCTACAAAGCAAAAAGATGAGATTTCTCTCTGAGTTCTTAAGAGGAACACTATAGGTAGGAAGACAATTGAGTAATATTTCTAAATTGGTAGAGAAAAACTTTGTATCTAGTGTTTTGCATTCAGCCAAATTGTCACTCCATCGTGAAATCATAAAACTTCTGGATTCTCAAGGCTTCAAAAGGTTAGCCACATGCAAAGATCCCAACTGAAAACGGTCCTGGAGGAAGGACTCGGCTAGGATGAAAAATAACCCCTGGAGATGCTGCAAGAGGTGTACCCAGCGTCTTGACAAAGTTTATTTTTACCTTTTTTTATTCATAGAAAATGCAGCTAAGAGCAAAATGAAGAACAAGAGAAAATACATTCACGATCATTGAAAAATAACATTCTAGACCAGTGATCCCCAACCTTTTTGGCACCAGGGACTGGCTTCGCGGAAGACAAGTTCTCTATGACTAGGACCGTGGGATGATTTCAGGATGATTCAAGCACATTATTGTTGTTGTGCACTTTATTTCTATTATTATTACATTGCAGTAAATAATAAGGTAACGATACAACTCACCGTAATGTGGGATCTGTGGGAGCCCTGAGCTTGTTTTCCTGCAACTAGACGGTCTCATGTTGGGGTGATGTGAGACAGTGACAGATTTTCATAAGGAGCGTACAACCTAGATGCCTGGTATGTGCAGTTCACAATAGGGTTTGTGCTACTGTGGAATCTAATGCCACCACTGCTCTGACAGAAGTTAGAGATCAGGCAGTGATGCACATGATGGGGAGATGCTGTGAATACAGATTAAATTTCTCTCACTTGTGCACCACACACCTCTTGCCATGTGGCCTGATTCCTAACAGGCCGGGAACTGGTACCGGTCTGTGGCTCAGGGGTTGGGAACCCCTGTACTAGACAATATCAACATGGGGTAAGAAGTACACACTAGAAGCCCATGAAAGGATGGTTGGGTACTTGTCTCATGAGACAAGCTCAATGTAGCAACTGTATTAAATCAATGTAGATATGAGTCTTCAGTTTACATTAAGAGAATGTCTATCCTTTCATCCAGCAAAATGAAACCCTAGCCAAAGGAAAGTTCGATGCAAATTAAAAAAAAAAATTAAGCACAATAAATGAAAATAGGAAATAAAAAGGTAGAATTAAGTCCTAACATAAATGCAATTCTAATAAATTTAAGTGGATTAAACTCACAAAATAAGGACAGAGACACCGTTTGAGTTTTAAAAATTGCAATGTTATAAGAGATAGATTCACTTACAAAAAGATCTTAAAAAGTTGAAAAAGTCAGAAAAATATATTTTACTATTAGGAAACAAAATAAACTGTTCTGGCACTCTTAATATTGAACGAAATAGAATTTAAGGTAAAATATTATGTCTATACATTTGTCTATAAAATAGACAAACATATGTAATATATACTGATGAAAGATGCACTTGAATGTGAAAATAGAGCCATCCTAAACATATGAGGGCCTAAATTTTGGCCATGAGATGTATGAAGCAACACTATGAGAAATGCAAGAAGTAAATATTAGCTATTGTAGTTGGAGGCTCACATACCTCTCAGAAGAACAAAGTCCAATGAGACAAAACCAAATAGGGGGGTTTAAGTTCTAAGCCAAATAACTAATGAATTCCAGGTACTATGCCATCATATAATATTTATAAATATGTTATATATATATATATATAATCAGATGTACAAGAATATAGGATAAATATGTAATAAATTATAATTTTAAATAAATATTTTCAAATATGTAAACATGTAGTTTAAGATTGAAAAGTGTTCTAAACTATATAAACATATTACATATGTTTTATAAAATACAGTATTCATGAATAGATATTATATAAACTGTGCATAAGTACTAATACATGTTTATAACCCTCTCCATAATTAAAAACAGATAGTATACATTCCATAAAGTACATGGAGTGTATTTACAAAAGGACACCTTGTATGAAGACATAAAAGAAGTGTGAAGAAATTTCAGAGAATCAATATGACACAGAATATATTCTCCAAACCTAACGCAATGACATTAGGAATGCATAAGAGGGCTGGGAGTGTTGGCTCACGCCTATAATCCAAGCACTTTGGAGGCCAAGGCGGGTGGATCACCTGAGGCCGGGAGTTCAAGATCAGCCTGACCAATATGGTGAAAACCCATCTTATAAAAAAAAAAATTAAAAAAAAAAAAGGAATGCATAAGAGAAGTAAAGATAAAATAGTACTTTTCAAACTAATTATTAATACATTCATATGTGAATTATTAAGTATGTAATAAAATATATTTTGATATATGACCACTACATATCAAAAAGTATGGGGCATAGTTAATATTGGAGAGCAATTAGTAGCTTTGAATACATTTGTTGGAAAACATGAAAGTTTTCCAATTAATGAGCTAAGGAAGCATCTTAAGAAGATGGAACATGAGCAGCAGAGCAAGCCCAAAGAATCATAAAGGAGGGAGAGAATCATGGTAACAGCTGAAATAAATTAAATAGTTGGAAATGAAGATCAAAGAAAGTCATAATTCATTCTTTGAAAGTTTAAAAAGATAGCCATATTGTTGTCAAGACAAATGAAGAGAAAAGGAGATGATGATAAGAAATTGAAGGAAAAAAAGAATATAACCATGCATTCATTCTATAGAGATTTTAAAATAAATAAATTAGTGTTACATGTAAATTTTACGTGCCATGAAAGAAGTAGCACTCAAATATAAATTCTGTCAGCAAGGCAATTTACTGCTATAGAAAGGTGCATCTCCTAGATGGAGCAATGGCCAGCACACACCTGGACAAAGGAGGTGAAGGGGTTCTTATACTTGATGCAGGTAGCCCCTACTGCTGCTTTGTTCCCCAATTGGCCAGGGTTAGACCACACGGTCTAAGGTAATTCCGATTGGGTATTTTAATGAGAGCAGGAGTATGAGCCAGAATGGTAGGGTGAGTGAGTGGCGGGAAAACTGGTTATGGAACAGGTAACTAAAGGTGACTCAGGTCAGAGCAGGTGAGCAGGGGTGACTCAGGTCAAAGCAGGTGACCGAGATGAGTCAGGATGGAGCAGGTGACCTGGATGAGTCAGGATGGAGCAGGGGATTAGGGGAACAGATGTAAACTACTGATTAGAACTGGTGAAAATGGTTGTTCACTGAACGCACGAGGAAGTTAAACTTTAAAATGAAGGACAAAGAACTGAACATACTGACATACTGATTCTTTGAAAAGAAATTTAGAACTCGTTGTATCCAGCATTCTGAACAAAATCTTGCTGTTTTAAATCTTAGAAATGCACAAATTTCTAAAAACATGAACTGCGAAGACTAACACAAAAAGAAACAGATTTCAGTATACTAATAAATAAGAAAACTGAAATATTAGATAAGCATCATCCTCACAGAAAATTCAAGACTCACATGGTTTCACAGGCAACACAATCTTTTAAGAAACATTTGGTTGATATTTCATACAAGATGTTGCAGAAAATAGAAGAGAAGCAGAAATGGCCCAGGTCATTTGAAGGGGCTAGTGTCATCAAAGTCTCAAAACCAGTTAAGGGGGATACAAGAAAACTAAATTATAGGTCCATTTCTCTGAGGCACATGGAGTCAATTCACAAATTATCATTAGCCAACTGAATTCAACAGTGTATCAAAACGAAGACTGTATTACGATTGAGTAGGGTTTTCTCACAAAACAGAAAGGATTCTTCAACTTCAGAAAATCTAATCTTAGATTAGGTTACTTACTAATGTAAGTGATCTTGGATTAAATCATTTATTAATATAAGTAAACTAAATTCATAAACTACAGGAAAAAAGTCAACTGATGCACAAAATGCATTTGGGAACCTTCAGCACATTATGTCATATGAAAAAGCTCTTATAAAATAGAAATAAGAACAGATAACTTGGTAAAGGTTGTACACCAATGATCACCATAAACATTATTTAGTAGAGAAAGCATAAACTCAAATTAAGGATTTCCACAGCTACTATTAATGTCTTCTATAATATTAGAGGTTCTGATCGATGCTTGAAGGAAAGGAAAGCAGGTTACAGGAAAGAAGATGAGACAAGAAGAGGGAAAAACTGTCGTGACTGGCAGATGACGGGATCATCTACCCAGAAAAAGAAGGAGAAACAACAAACTGTTAGATTTCACAAGAGAGTTTAGCAAGGCTGCCAGTTACAAAAGCAACAAATAAACATCACAAGGAGACCTCTATAAGGAATAATCATTTAGGAAAATAAGACAGTTTTCATTACAGTGACAAAATCATTAAGCTTCTAGAAAGAATAATTTAAGCAAGACCTATTTGGAGAAAAGTATAAAATGCTAAAAAATGACAGGTGATCTGAATAAATAGAAATAATACAGGACTTTGGAAGAGGCAGTAACATTGTAGAGACATCAATTTCCCTCAAATTAAAAAGCCTTTCAATGTAATCCCAAACACAACTTGTTTACATTTGCAAAGAACTTGAAAAACTTACTCTAAAATTATACAAAATAAAAAAGGAGATACATAACTGGCTAAGTCAATCATAAAAACGTGAATATAAAAAGAGCTCACTGGCTTTACCATGTAATAATCCTGAAGCAGGAAGCTGCTAAGGCCACAAGAGAAAAGCAGATTTGCTGGGACAGGGAAGTCCCAGAATCAGAGCTAGTTAGGCCAGGAGTGGGGGCCACACAGAGGGTACCTGGGAGGATCCCTGGGATCAGCAGACAGGAGGTCTAGGTCTGTGCTCTGTCACTGCTTGTAAGGGTCTGGTCAGGTCCTGTGCAGTCTCTGGGCCTCATTCCTTCAGGTGTGATATCTGGCTGGTCTTGACGATGCACTTGGCTCTGATTCCTAAGAGACTCCTGATGGTCCTGTCCTACCTGACCTGATTAGGGAGAGTTCCCGCTCCCCTGGCTCTATCCCTCCCCTTCCCTAAACTGTAATCCCTTGTCTTTCCCTGGCCAGCATTTTCCTCCACTCAAGACTTTGAGGTTCCTTCTGACCAGGTCTCCTCTCAGTCCCAGAGACCTCTGCGACTCCTGCCCCACACCCCTGTGTCACAGTCAATTCAGGGTGGGCCCTTATACAAACAGCTACAGCCACAAGGGGCCTGCTTTAGGGACACTGCAGGAGCAGGTGACATCCTGGCCCAAGTCCATCCTCTTTTCTCCTTCCCTGCTGCAGGAAATCAAGGGCTCCCCTCTGCCTTGGCTCAGCTGGCCCCAGACTCCTGATCTTTGTGCTGTGTGGACTCCTCCTGGCCATGGGGCTGATGCTGTGAGTCCCGTTTGTGCTCCTGACCTGCAAGTGCCACTGGTGAGTGGGGCCTGGGTTTGGCCTGGGGAGCAATGGAGATGGAGCCAGATTCTGTTTCTAGAAAGATGGTTAGGAAGAAGCAGCCAGATCAGAAAGGCAGGAAAAATGACAGCTGAGAACAATTTTAATATGTGTTTCCTTGCAATCTCTGCCTTCTTGAAGACAGAGACCTTAGAAAAAGACAGAGGGTTTCCAGGAGTCCCATCCCAGGGCTCTGCCTTTGTCTTTGTCCTGAGAGGAACAAAGCCAGAAGAACAAAGCTGAGAGTGCCTGGGTAGAAGGTTTAGGAGGCAGAAGGGGGCAGGGCAGGAAGCAGGTGACAGGGAGAAAGGAGGGATAGAGGAAGAACAGGTGACAGGAACAGGGTGAAACAAAGGGGCAGAAAAGAGGGTCGGGGAGAGCATCACTTCCATTCCTGACTTTCCTGCTCTCATCCCATCTCAGGACAGCAGTGATGGAGGTTTCTGATTGTCCCAGCCCAGCCCTGCCCCAGGGCCCTTGGGCGTGTGAGCCACAGCATGGATCCAGGATGAATCCCAGTTCTTTCCCCGTCTAGCTATTGGGAGCCACCCTAAGCATCAGGTCCCACCTTCCCATGAGGAAGGGCCAATGCCAAGCCCGTTGGAGAGAACTTTCAGCCCCGGATCTCCCTAGTGGTGACCTCTCACCCCTGCACTGAGCCCTCTTACATCTACTTTCGCTGCCCTGACTTCTGCCATTGGGAAGACCCTGGCGGGGGTTTCTGCATCCTGGTCAATGCCCAGCTCAGCATCTTCAGCTGCGCCCGGCTCCTCCTCTCCAGCATTCTGTGGTTCTCTCAGCCCCACCTCAGCAGGTCTCCAGGATGCCTCACATTTTCCCTGTTTGTTGCCTGTGCTCTGCCTGAGAGTCCTATGACTTTCCTTTTGTGCTTAATTAAATTCAGCCTCTGAACTGAAATGTGTCAGGTGCAACTGAGCAAGAGAACAGATGTATCCTCTTCCCCTCCCCCCACCCCAGGTATCCTAAATGAGAGAGAAGTGACTTAAAAATAAATGATAAAATTGAAACTAAGAAAGGCTGTAATTAGCAGACTGGAAACTGAGGAAGTTCTAGAAGTAAAAGAAAAAATCAGATGTGTTCAAATGATGAGAGCAGTCAATTCAGCAGCCTAAAACAGGACCAGAACATCCAATGGAATCTTATCATTAGGGGCCAAAAATCTGTTTGTTTAACATGTGAGGAGACTCATAGCCTAAAAGTGAAAAATCAAGCTGAACTAGCATTATTGATGTTGAGTAACAGATAAATGTTTTAGGGAAAAAAAAGGAGCACATATCTGTGAAGAAGAGGCACAGTCATTTTTCAACCAGGTAACATCTAGCAAGGCTGGGATTGACCACTCAGAATGGGGGTCCACCATGAACAACCAATTTGGGGTACCAGTGCATAAGCTGAATGCCAGCCCTAAAGAAGGCTACTGTAAAGGAAGTACCATTTTCTTTTGCTCTTTTTGGGGAAGGGCATTGCTATGGTTTGGTTGCATCCCTATCCAAGTCTCTCATCTTGAATCGTAGCTCCCATAATCCCCACATGTTGTGGGAGGGACCTGGTGGGAGGTAATTGAATCATGGAGGTAGGTTTTCCCTTCCTGTTCTTCCATGCTTTCTGCTACCATGTAAGATGTGCCTTTGTTCCTCCTTCACCTGCCTCCATGATTGTGAGGTCTACCCAACCACGTGGAACTGTGAGTCCATCAAACCTCTTTTTCTTTATGAATTACCCAGTCTCAGGTGTTTCTTCAGAGCAGTATGAAAATGGACTAATAAAGGCATCAAATGGAAGTCTCTTCATGTATATCTCAGCTCCTGCCACGTGACCATCATCTATCTGTGAGAGGCAACACTTTTGCTTTCTTTATTTTTTAAATCCTCCTTCCCTATTTCCACTTGCCTTCCCTTCTGAGCAAGCACTCTAATGCATTTGATATGTAACCTTAAATTTGAATACATTCTTGTAAAGCACGCAGTATTTTTTTTTCGTGTGGCTGTATTTTAACTTAGATATAAGAAATTGTGATAGACCTTGTTCATGTATTTGTTTTGCTCCTTCCTGGGTATATATATACAGCCCACTTTTTCAGTGCTTATTCCATTGTGCACATATCCCACACTGTATCATTCAGAACTCAGGCCGCATGTGCTATTTTGCCTTCACTTCTCAATATCCAAACAATGCTGTGACAAATATTGTTCATCATGTTCTCCGGTGGAATCAGGTGAGACTTCCTTTAGGACTTATACCCAGGTGGCCTCAGCTGGGTTTTAGGATCTCAGATATCTAAATAATGCTGCCAGCGATGTTGCCCAAAACATGAATCTAGATACTAGAGATTATATGTTTTCTGTGGTCTATGTGAAGTACACAGCACCATGTATAAAATGGTATTGCCAATTTAAAAAAAAGGAAGGCAAGAATAAATGTAGCTGAGTGATGCTAAATGGGGTCTATATGTATGATTATCTCCCTCTCTCTCTTTTTTTTTTTTTTTTTTTTTTGTGAAGTTTTGCTCTTGTTGCCCTGGCTGGAGTGCAGTGGCATGATCTCAGCTCACTGTAGCATCTGCCTTCCAGGTTCAAGCGATTCTCCTGCCTCAGACTCCTAGTAGCTGGGATTACAGGCAGTCACCACCACGCCTGGCTAATTTTTTGTGTTTTTAGTAAAGATGAGGCTTCATCATGTTGGCCAGGCTGGTCTCGAACGCCTGACCTCAAGTGATCCACCCACCTTGGCCTTCCAGAGTGCAGGGACTACAGGTGTGAGCCACCATGCCTGGTCGATTATCTCTTTTTTGCGAGATACTTTTGTGTATGCTTGGTAATTTTTATAATTAAAATGATACCTAAAAACAAACGTTTGTGTGCTGAAGCCACTGCTATTTGGTTTTCAGTGGTATGTGACTGAACCCAATCCTTTCTCGATTTATTGAACTTATACAACTGCAGCAGATGGGGACGGGTTCCCTTACAGTATGGAAATATTGAGCTTCACTTAAAGAACTTTGGTAGTGGCATAAAAGTGGACTAAACAAAAATACATCTCCCTCAATCAGGTGCTAAGACTAGCATTTGGTTATAACTTTTAACTCTTTTATCTTAACATTCTTAGCCTCAAATTTGTCATAGATTTCTTAACCATAATTTTCAAGTGGGTGGCAAATTCTGTGTCGTACGTTAGCATGTAAAAGACATATACTTCTTCAAAATTTTGAACATATTTCATTGTTTTCTTAACCTCTTAGTGTTGCTATGGAAATGTCTTATAGAAATCTGTTGGTTATTCATCTTTACTGACCTCTCTTATCTCTGGAACATTCTAATAATTTTCTCTTTGAATTCTTATTATAATGTGTTTAGTATGGGATATTCAATGATTCATTATATTATCCAAATGTGTATTCTCTGAACACATTTGATCTGATGTCGTAGATATTGGTTTAATTCTGAAAAATCCTTGGTACGGTTTTTTCAAATATTAATAGTTCCTCTGCTCCATTTACTCTTTTTTTCTTCTTCTGGGAATAACAAAAAAATATGTGGGAACTAAAAACGACAATAACTGCAATTAGAAGCTCACTACATGGACTCCATAGGAGAGGGGAGATGAGAGAGGGTGTAGCTAGCTAACTGGAAGGCAGACTGAGAAAATTGACTCAGTCTGATCAAAGAGAAAACACACTGAAAATAAATGAACAGAACCTCAGCTGTCCATGGGACATTAATGTAAATGCTAACCTTGGCATCATCAGAGTCCCAGAAGGAAAGGAGAAAAAAATGTGGGACTGAAAATGTATTCAAAGAAATGTCCAAACTAATCGAATTTGGCCACAGACCTAAAGCTACAAATCCAAGAATCTGATTTGATCCCAGATATAATAAGCCCAAAGAAATACACACCAAGACACAGCATAAATAAACTTCTGAGAAGTGAAGACAAAGAAAATACCTTAAAAACTGACAGAGAGAAATAATCATTTATAAAGGAATGCCAATTCGAATTGTAGTGAATTTCTCACCTGAAACAATGGAAGCCAGAAAAATGTGGCACAACGTTGTGCAAATGCTATAAAAGACAACCCAATTGAAGAAGCATTTCTCCAAGGATATGCAAATGAGCACGTTGTACATGCTCAAGGTGAAGATGCTCAATATCATTAGTCATTAGGTAACTACAATTCAAAACTTAGGCACATCTACCGGATGGCTATAAACAGAAAGCCAATACAAGTGTTGGAGGGATTGTAGAGAAAGGAGAACACTCATACATCGCTGGAGAGGGTGTAAAAGTTGTAGCCACTTGGGAAAACTATTGGGTAGTTCTTAAAAATGTTAAAAAAATAGAGTTGCCATATGATCCAGTAGTTCTACTATTGGTTATGTATTCAAGGGAAATAAAAACGCACATGTCCACATGAAAACTTATGCAGGAATAGTCATAGTAAGACTGTTTCTAACAGCTAAACAGTAGAAACAAAATAGCTGTCAACTGACAAATGGTAAACGAGAAACATAGGTATCCCTTCAGTGGAATATTATTCAGCCTTTAAAAGGAGTGAGGTACTAATACAACCTATAGCACAAGTATAGCTACAACATGGACAAGCCTGGAAAGCGTTATGCTAAGTGAAAGAATCCAGTCACAAGGAACACATATTATTCAAATACGTTTTCATGACATGTCCAGAATTGATAAATCTATAAAGGCAAAAAAATATTGGTGGTTGCCTGGAACTGCAGGAACGATGACTGTGGTAAGCTGATAAATAAATGGCTTCTTAAAAAATATCTGTGTCCATAAACTGTGAACTGTTGACCAAAAAAATCTGTGTCCTAGTCCCTGGAACCTGTGATTGTTACCTCATATGGCAAAAAAAAAAAAAGGGATCTTTGCTGATTTGAGTGAGTTAAACATCTTGAGATGGGGAGATTACGGAGATGGGCACGGAATGCAATCACGTGTATCCTTATGTAAGAGAGGCAGAGGGGGATTTGAACACAAACAGGAGAAAGTGATGTGAAGTTGGAGCAGAGCAAGATTGAAGATGGGGGCCTTGAAGACTGGAGTAAAACAGTGAAACCAAAAAAAATGCTGGCAGCTACCTGAAGCTGGAAAGGCAAGGAACGAATTCTTCCCTAGAGTCTCTGGAGAGACTGCAGCCCTGTCGACATCTTGATGGCAATACAGTGAGACTGACTTCAGACTTCTGCCTTCAGAACGGTGAGATAATCACGTCCCATTGCTTTAAGCCACCAAGTCTGCAGTAATAGGAAACTGATACAGGGAGTGCCTGCCAGTGGGCATGGGGTTTCTTTGGGGGGACATAAAGATGCTGTAAAATTGGATTGTGGTGTTAGTTGTACAACACAGTGAATATACTGAAAACCACTGAATTGTATGCTCTAGATGGGTCAAATTTATTTTATTTATTTATTTATTCTTGACACATAGTTTTGCTCTTGTCTAGGCTGGAGTGCAGTGGTGCAATCTCAGCTCACCACAACCTCCACCTCTGGGGTTCAAGCGATTCTCCTGCCTCAGCCTCTCGAGTAGCTGGGATTACAGGAGCCCAAAATGATGCATTTTTGTATTTTTGTATTTTTAGTAGAGACGGGGTTTCTCCATGTTGTTCAGGCTGGTCTCAAACTCCTAACATGATCCTCCCACCTCGGCCTCCCAAATTGCTGGGATAACAGACATGAGCCACTGTACCCAGCAGGGTCAGTATTGTATTATGTGAATTACATCTCACAGAACTGTTGAAAAAATAATCGTGACCCTGAGTTAAGCAAAGATTTATCAGATATGACATAAAAATATGATCCACAAAAATTACATGTTGGACTTCATCAAAAGAAGTCAACAGAAAGTTCTTCATACCGTCCTATTTCCATTCTGGAAAGAGAGAAACGATAGGAAAAAACCCCACCAGATCAGTGTTTGGGATGGAAGGGAAGACTAACAGGGGGCAGGGGAAAGCTTTTGGAGATGACGGCAGTCTCCTCTGTCTCCATTATGGCATTGGATACAAGTCTCTAGAACTTTCAGAACTGTTCATTAAAAAGGGTAATTAGTACTCTATGTCGATCAGACCTTAATTTTTTCATGGGAAAAATAAATATAAAGGCAAAATACACTGCTGCGTTAAATCAAATGATGGATGTAAAAGTCTAATACATACATATTTTTAACGATTTTGACAAATGCTTCCAAATCTCTCTCAAGAGAGGTTGAATCCAGTGCATACTTCCCCGATCAGTGAGTGAGTGTTTGATTCCTTCCACCCGCATCAGCACAGTGATCCCAAGGGTCACACTTTTGATGATCGCTGGCTCAGTGCTGGGCACACTGCAGGAGTTTCATAGAAGCACAGATCCCAGGCACTCGAAGTCCCACAACAGAAAAATCCTCACTCCTGAAGCAACTTACTTTTCTGGTGGGGGAAGGGATGAAGGAGCATACTGTGTATGTTAGGGAGGGAGACGGCCTCAGAACTTAGGGAGTTCAGGATGTTCTGAGTACTGGGTGGGAAACATTGAAAAAGGAAGGGTGAAAAAGGAAAACAAAACACATCTGTAAGCGGAGAGGTCTCAAGTGACAACTGTATCTCATTCCCGTGCCGCCAGTGCCTACCAAGCCACATGCATAGCAATGAGGTTGTGGGAATGAACAAATGAATGAATGAGTGGAGAGACTATAGAAGTTTAGGGTTAGTCAAGATAAAATTCTTAGCTTGGGGTTTGGGGGTTCCAGATCAGTTTAAGATTGTAGCCATGCGACTGTATCTCATTCCCATGTCCCCAGTGCCTACCAAGCCCCATGCATAGCAGTAAGGTTGTGGGAATGAACAAATGAATGAATGAGTGGAGAGACTATAAAAGTTTAGGGTTAGTCTAGATAAAATTCTTTGCTTGGGGTTTGGGGGTTCAAGGTCAGTTTAAGATTGTGGCCATGCAAGCTTGAGGACTTTTTGCTTTGAGTCCTGTTAAAATTAATGGAAATGGAGACCAGGCCTGAAGAGTCCCTGAGCAGACAAAATCAGCCAGGCCTCATAAGTGACCTCAACCTTGCTTGATTTGCAAACATCAGTGAAACTTAACTTGAGCTATTTCTTGTAAATGTGTATATTAAGGAAGAACAGGACTTAAGCTCCACCAGTCAGAAGAAGCCAATGAACTTATATAAATAAGTAGGGTCTTTCCAACAGGCTAGGGCAAATAGGGGAACTGTATAACGGTAACCAATTAAATATTTTCTTCACTTTACTTGTCCTGTGGGAGCCTTCCCCTTGTGTCCCGCCAGTGGAGCTCCTCCGCCTGTTCTGTTTGGAGCTGCCTGATTCATGAATTGTTGTTCGCTCAAATAATCCGTTTAAAATTTTATTGTGCCTCATTTTACTTTTTGACAGTCCCATCTAAGGAGTAGAAACGTAGCACTGGTGAGTAGGGGGAGCATACATAACCATGGGGGTCCAACTGGACTCCCGCACACTGAAGGAGCAGATGAAACAGCTACTGAACATCAGAAATCGATGCTTCTGACTCTAGGCCTTGGGATAAGTGAAGGGTGAGGTCTTGGGCCAAGTGCTGGGTCATTTCCACCGGAGCTGTTGGCTGTACAGGCGAGATAGGGTTGAGCAGGAGGAAGTGGAGGGGGCTTGCCTGTGTGCTGACGGAGGCTGGAGGCACGGGAAGAAAGGGCTCTTGAGGTGAGGTGGATGAGGGGAAGCCCTGCGGTGGCTTTAGGAAGCCTGTGGGAGGGACTAGGAGTGTAGAGGGAGCTGGTGGTGAGTAGAGACGACAGGAGGAGAGGCAGAGAGAGGGATAGAGACAGGAGATGCAGGGGTAGGGCAGAGGAGGGGCCGCTGGGGTATGTGTGAGACTGTGCATGGGCATGTGTGCATGTGTGTGTGTGTTTGTGCGAAAGTGAATAAAAGAGAAAGTAAGATTGTATGAGTGTGAGTGCATGTGCACACACTCATGTGTGAGAGTACAGAAGCCCCTCCCTCTACTCAAACTTTATGCCCTGAGCCTTCCAATTTGGATTTTTTTCCCCTTGACAAAAGTAAGATTTCAAGTGAGCATGTAAGAGGTTATTTGCAACAGTCAACACAAGTGACTGTTCTGAGAAGCCAGGAACCTGGGAGAGAGAGAGAGGAAGGAACAGAAAGAATGCATCTGCAATGAATGAATGAATGAGAGCTTACACGAACTTCCCTGTGACTGTGTGTATGTAAGAAACTAGGGTCTGAGATGCTCCATCTCAGCCTGAGAGCCTTTACTGCTGGGTCTCTCAGCCCGGAAGATTCCAGGAAAGTCTATACCTGAGGTTCCAGAAGCCTCACCTCAACCCCATAGCTGGATCCTAGGGACCAGTTCCTGGGGGAGGCTGGGGAGGGCCAGGAGCCCCCTGACTGTTGGCCCTCCCTGGGCTTGGCCCGCATACTGGGTGGAGCAGCCACACCTGCCTGAAGTTCCGAGGAAAAGGGCGGAAACAGCAGCCAGCACCGCCCTTGCCCTTGCGATAGGCTCTATGGGCTCCTGCGGTCGGCTGGGGGCAGTGGGTCCCACACTGCCTCACTTCCCTAAATGGGTATCTTCACTTTTAGAACCCCAGGTCCTTCCCTGGCAGGCCCAGGTGGCACGTCCTGTGTCGGCTGGGCCCTCACCTTGGATCCCCGAGGTGCGCTGGCCCCTTGCTGGGCCTGTGACTGCCCAGCTGGATGGAGCCATGGTCCCTGCACTCCTGCTGCTGCTGCTACTGCTGCTGCCGTGGCCACAGGGCTGCGTCTCAGGTGAGGGGAGAAGGGGCTGCCTCGTGGAGGAGGGAGTGGGAACAGAGGCAGGAGCACAGGGCCTTTTATCTAACCCTCCTTACCTGCAATTTTCTTGTGTAGTGTTTTGTGGGTTGGGGAAGGAGGAGATTAGTGCTGACTTAGTAGTTCTTTACACTAAGATCGGGCCCCAGGCAAAGCTAATCCAGGCCTCCCAGGCTAAGATAAAGCTCTGGACTCTCTCTGTGTTGGCCCCTTTATCTCCTAGGCTTCCTCAGGCTTCAAAGCAGAGTCACTTTATTTCCTCACACAAATAGCCATCTCGGCTTGGCCTGTCAGGAAGCCCTGTTTAGGTATGACAGCAGTCATTGCATCATGAGTGCTTTGAACTGAATTTGAGCATTTTTCTTGAACTGCTGATGGCACATCCTGTCCCTGCCTCTGTCCTGAAGAGACCAATCTCTGAACGCCTTTTCCACCTTACATATACCAATGCTCCTTGAGGGACCTCACCCATTTCTGCCCACTTATTGCCATAGCAACCAAGTTACCACTTCCTGTTCAGTTCTGGGCATAGTGGGTGTTGGCAAAACTCACTCACCACTGCCGGTAAGAAGGGTGGGAGCTGTAGGCACACATGAACACAGTGCCCTGGAGACCCATCCCAAGGTCACCCACCTCTGCACCTCCCAGAGGTAGAGAAACAGCTTCCCACTGCCAGGGCAGAAAGGGGTCTCTCCTGTGCTAAGAAATTCTAGGCTCATCCACCAAGTAATGGAGTTGGATCGTTCTGTTTAGTTTGCAAGGAACAGAGGGATGTTCAGAGAGGGCGCTGTCTCACATAGAGCCTCAGCTCTAGTGGCTGCTGGGTGGGAAGCGGGACAGATGTCCTGGGTTCTGGGCCCTTGACTGTCACAGCTCTGGGTTCCACTGAGGGAACTGGGAATCCGCTGCATGTGGGAAAAGGAAGCATGCATTGAGCACCCACAGTGTGCAAAGCACTGACCAGGGCAGAATTGTCATGGCAACCTGTGAGCGGTGTGGTGCTATTCTCTCTTGACTGATACAGAAACAGAGATATTTCTGTGTCTGTCAAGTGTCTGTTTTGA